TACTGGAAATCGTGTTGTATACGTTTAAAACGTTACAAGGTTGAAATGAAATAACTTTCCCGATTTGTAGATGCGCCTGATAGCAGTAATTGGTAACGCGAGCTTTCGCTGAAGTAGGGGAGAATACAATTTCGCGTCTGTACGTCCGTAATTTTCGATTATTAGCAACGCTTAAAGTTTCATCCTTCCGCAGATGACAGTAATATTTTGAGGGCGGCTTTAGTTGTGTAGGCCCACAGATCAATATGCCCGTCGCAGTCCGACTTAGCGTGTACTGAAGGGTATGTGGTGTCCTGGTACCCTGTAACCGTGGCCTGACCACATCCAAAGGAAAGTTTAAAAATGTATTTAACTGTAAACACTCTAGGGCAGTTGTATTCAACCTGGGGTACGATTACCCCCGGGGGTACGCGAAGACATCTTAGGGGGTACGTGATTTTTTAAAAAAAAATATTTTATGATAAACACTGAATAATCAGTAATGTAATTTATTTAATTTATTTTAGATGTAGATTATATACTACGTATAACTTGAATTATACACCAACAACTTTGGGGGTACAAAGTTGAAGAGAAATTATATCTGGGGGTACGCGAACAAAAAAGGTTCTTTATAATACCCCATCGTCAATTTCGGCTGTGGGACAGACGACGTCGTAAGTTGTCTGAGAACTCTTTGTTATTTTTATAGGGTACTGGTTGTGACAGCCGGGATCGAACCCAGGACACTAGACGGACGTAGTTTAGGGCCTGCATTTAACCTATCTGAAGCGACCGAGCGCTGTTGTTGAACTGCGGCCATCAGTTGTGAGCTTACGGACCCCCGAGAAGACGCAACAAGCGAGGCATGATACCAACAGCTTTGCCTTCGTCACGCACCTCAAGACACAACAGCAGAGAAACTTTATTGAAGACGCAAGGCGCTGGTTGCTATCACCACCTGCGCCATCACGAACGGCCATTATAAACGCCGTTTACGATCTTCGCCGTGTAATAACAGCTTTCACGGTTATGATATAACTACAGTTCTTGCAGAATCGAAACAGCGGAATTCCACATTTGCTTTGCGCTCGGAACTTAAGAACTCAATCCACATTGAGAATAGTTATTTTTTCTTTGGTTTAACATGGTCTCTCGCTCAGAGGGAGGAACACAGATTGCAGGTGTTTGAGAATCGGGTGTTGAGGAGGATATTTGGGCCTAGGAGAGAAGACGATGGGGCGTGGAGAAAACTGCATAATGACGAGCTTAAAAATCTGTACTCCTCCCCCAGTATTGTCAGGGTGATTAAATCGAGAAGAGTGAGATGGGCTGGACATGTAGCGCGCATGGATGGG